AGGACAAAGGAATTGCACAGGATGAGGGGGCAGAGCTGGGGTATGATCTGTACCAGTGGTCAGAGAACAGCCACCTTAATGCAATCATGGGTCAAGTATTAAAGAAGTTCTGCTCCTAATCCCCACTCTGGTTCAGGCCCACCATTCTGACCTAGCCAACAACATTCATCAACAAATCTTCATGGAAACAAACACAAAGAATACTCCAACAACAGCAAAGAAAGAAAGACGCTGACCTTTTAAAATAACTCTTATGTCATCACCCAAGTTAGCTTAGTGGTGGTCTTAAAAGTTCTATATCAGCCAATAAATATTTATTAAGTGTCTACTATGTGCGAGGCACTGTGATTAATTCTGAGGACACAAAGGAAGGGGGAAGGGCAGGGAATATTTTTATAGCACCTACTATGTGCCAGATGCTATGGTAAACACTTATGAATATTATCTCATTTGATCCTTACAACAACTCTGTGAGGTACAATTATTATTCTCATTTTACAGGGGAGGAAAGAGTCAAATAGGGTTAAATGACTTGCCCAGGGTCACACAGCTAGTAAGTATCTGAGGTTGGATTTGGACTTGATCTTCCCAATCTAGACAAAGCACTCCATCCACTGCTCTCAAGGAGCTCATAGTCTAAAAGGGGAGACAACATGCAAACTATTTATAAATGAGATTAATGCAAGATAAATTGGAGATAACCAACAGAGGGAAGGTCCATTAAGGGAAAGTGTTCTCATTATTTCGGATTTGGTTTTATCAGATTATTAGCTAATAGATTTATTTGGATTAATATGGAATCAAATGGCTTTTGAATTATTACATGTAAAACTTCATTCAGGTGATAATCTGAGGATTTGATGTCAGAGGCACTCTACTTAGATGCTAGCATTAAGCATTGATTTTTTAGATGAAATTTTTATTGCTATCTTTTTTTTAAACATCACTTATATTTCCCAATATATTCCTTTCTCTCTATATGTCTCTGACTCTGTCTCTGTCTCTCTGTCTCTCTCTCTTCTCTGTGTCTCTCTCTTCATCTCTGTCTCTGTCTGTTTCTCTTTCCCACAAAACCATCTCTTATTTAAGAAAAAAAATGGTTCAAAGGGTGTAGCCAAAGCAGCCAACCTACAGAGAAAGTCTGCCTTTGTAGGCAGGGTCCCATGCCCAGAGTCCATCACCTATGCAAAGAAGGAGGGAAGCTGCTTTCTAATCTCTCTTCTTTGGGGTTGTTTGGTCATCAAATTTCACAGCATTCAATTTATATTGTTTTGTTGTTTTTTCCATTTACATTGTTGTAGTCATATATATTGTTTTCCTGGTTCAGCTTCTCTTTATTCTTCATGAGCACCAATTCCTTAATGCTCTGACAGATTGCAAAGGAGTCTCTTACAGCCCTTTGCTTTGCAGGGAAGCGGCTATGGCAATGTTCTTGGAGCCCAGGTGGTCTCTAGTAATTATATGAAGCTAAGAGAACTGATGGAGCTATTTCTCAATGGTTACTCTTGCTACTTTAAGGTCCTCCCAGCCACGGACCCTACAAAAACTTTTTTGGCACTTCTTGATCTAGGTGGTACAGTGAATAGAGTGCTGGACCTGGAGCCAGGAAGACTGGAATTCAAATCCAGCCTCAGACACTAAGTTCATGACTCTGGGCTAGTCACTTAACAGCTATCTACCTTAGTTTCCTCATAGATAAAATGAGGATAATAATAGCATCTATCTTCCAGGGTTGCTGTGGGCATAAAATGAAATAATCTTTATAAAGCACTTTGCAAACCTTAAAGCACTATATAAATGCTAGTTATTAGTTATCTTGGGGAGAAGGATTGTTGCTTCCTCTGTTTTAGACTCTTGAAACTTTTAGAAAGTCTTCTGAAGCATTTGAAATCATTCTATTTCTATTGATTCCATTATACACTTGCAGGACTTTACAACTCAGGTGTTCAATAAATAAATATTTGACTGAATTCAAGGCTGCAGTCCTGACAACTACAACCAGAAATTTAAAAGATAAAGATTTTGGTTCTATTAATTCAACAAAAGATTTTTTTAAAAAATTACCAGGTCTCTCTCTAGATGTTCAGTAGCAATTTCAGCAAGAATTGTAGCATGAAGCTTTTGTTGTATAGTTTCCTAAGAACTCCTTTTATCAGCAGCATATAAAAGAGATTTCAATAATCAGAATCTGCTCTATGGTCACACAGAGCAGAGAAGCTGGAGGTAAAAATGATTATTTTTCCATCAATAAGATTGAGAAATTGTTTCATTATAATGAATGAGAAGTTTGACCTTAGAGAAGAATTGAGAAAATGAATTCTTTCCCTTCTTTGCAGAGGTAGGAGACTATCGGTATGGAATATTGTATACATTTTCAGACTCAGTTGATGTGTTTGTTGATTATGCTAACCCATTTTTCTCTTTCTTTTAAAAACATTATTTGATAATATAAGAGGTGGCTTATTGGGTAGGGGTGGAGGAGATTTTTTTAAAAAATTAAATGATGTTAAGATATCAATGCCTATTTCCCCTCCTAAGATTGGTTAAGAGGCAGCCTTGCCTGGTGTATGGGTTATTAAGTTGGAATCCAAGCACTTTAAAAAGTTTAATAACTACATCTCAATATAATTGGTTTCCTTTATAATTCTCTGTATTTTATTTTATGTGTTTATTTGGAAAAGGGGTCCATAGATTTCACCATATCACCAAGGAATCCATGATGCAAAAAAGGTCCCAGGGGCCAATGATCTGCCCATCATGGTAGGCCTTGGAGTATGGAAAGTCTGAGCTCCACTTGCAGCTACTGCTGTGTAACATGGCTGGCTATGTAATGATGGGCAAATCGTTTAAAGCTTTTAGTGTCTTGTGCACCTTCCTTAAAATCTCAAGTTGTTGACCAGCTGTTGAGCTGCACCAGTGGAGGGAGTTTCACAAACTCTGATGAAATCACACACACACACACACACACCCCCGTGTCCTACACCCAAATCAATTCAATTCAATAAGGATTGGTTAAGTGCCCAGTATTTGCCAGGGTCCAGATTCCCTATTACCATATGGGACAATGACTACATTGTCAAGAAGATATTTCATTATCCTCTTAAATTCTGGGTAGCTGGGATCCCCCTTGTTTTCCATACATAGCTTTCTTCCTTTCGAATCCAGTGTCCTTCACAAACCCTAACATTTTAGAAGTCTAGAATGCTGGGTTTTCAAAGCTTAATATTGGAATTTATGTAAACATATATGTGCATATAAATACCCAACAAAGTTGTTATATCCTACCTTCATGTGCAATGACCCCATCCATAAAGTCAAGATCCCTAGTACTATGCACAGTAGGCTATTACAGGTACTAATAAATGCTTCCTTCTCCCCCCTACCCCCTTCATTTGTTGTGACAGAGCTAGGTGATACATAGATAGAGAGTCAGGAAGCCCTGAGTTCAAATCCAGATCTCTAACACTTACTAGTTGTGTGACCCTGGGGCAAGTCCTTTAACCTCTGTCTGTCTCAGTTTCTACATCTATAAAATTGTAATAGTGCCTAAATCTCAAGATTGTTGTAAGGATAAAATGACACTAAGTGCTGGAGAGGATTCAAGAATCAAAAGATAGGTAGATGGGTGGACAGAATGGTAATAAGACTTTCCTTGCCCAAGGTCTGCCTTTGGATCCAATTCCCCACTCCATGAACTAAGAGTCAACCATAGTAAGAAGCTGCTAGAGGTCCCTGTTTCTGCCTATGACACTAAATTGAAGCACATCAGCCTCAGGTGCTAGCACCACCCAGTTAATATTAGCCCAGAGATCCCAGATTGGAGCTGTTGAGCTTAGAGTACAGCTTAGCTAGCATTACAAAAGTTTGTTACCTCCAGCACTGTGAAGGTTTGCCAGTTCCTGCATCGGAAAGACTTTGTTGATTTCTGCATCAAATACACCTCCTATTGTGGTATCAGCTGAGGTTGAATCCGGACACCAGGATCTGTGGTCTAAAACTCTTGAGTTCAGAGCATGCCTATAAAATCTTCTATCTACTCTGTGTTTGTTGTGTACCTTCTGACTTCTGCTAAATACGCATTATCTCTCCCTGTAGAACACAAGCTCCTTCAGAGGAGGAACCATTCTTGCTTTTTCTTTATCTTTCTCATTTACCACAGTGGCTGGCACAGAGTAACCTCCTGATAAATGCCTGTATGGTAGAACTCATGAGTTAGGAAGATCTGAGTTTAAATTCAGCCTCAGACACTTACTAGCTATGTGATCCTAAGCAAGTTATTTAACCTCTGTCTGCCTCAGTTTTCCCATCTGTAAAATGGGGATAATAATAATACCTTGTTATGAGGATCAGATGAGAAAATATTTGTAAATTGTTTAGCACAGTGGCTGGCAAATAGTAGGTGATTAATAAATGCTCCCTTCCCCTCCCCCCTTCTGAGAGCTTGTCTCCCTAGAGCGTCCTCTGGATTGAGGTAGACCATATGGCAAATAGGGTGAATTTGGGACTTTGCAGAGCCTCGTCCTTTTGGTGAATAGAATCTGATTAGTAGCAATGCCACCTAGTGGTTACATGTGTACATCATCCATATCCATATGTATATTGTATATACATCTACATACATGCCAGTTATATATGTGTATATACACACATGTCAATAGTTCACCAACTGATTTCCCTAAGAATATAGAGGGATGTGTATGTTAGTAGTTGAATATGTGTTATCTCTCAGTGTCTTATATATAGTAAATGCTAAAAGTATTTGTTGAATTGAATACAATATACAGTTTGAAAAATGCGGGGAAAGCAGTTGTGTAATCTGACGTTTGTAGCAACAGTATTTTCCAGTTGTTTGGTCATTGTAGCAACAGCAAACCTTCTGCAATTCTAGGCAACTCTAGGAGTAAAGAAACCTTTGAAAAATAACATTATATCCATTTTTATTACTGCCCTCTGCCACCAGTGTAATATAAGATAAGCATAAGAGCACCAATGTCGAAGTGGGGAAGCTATTTTTCTGATTCCTGTTTCCTTTAAATAGCCTGTCTAATTAAGTCCTGTTGTACCCCATTAGGAAGAACAAGACTTCAGCAAAATTCTCAGGCCATCCCAGCCAATTCTCCCTTGCCAGCATTTGGAGTGAAAACTTCAAAGTCTTAAATTTCTCAAGATCCCGAACGATTGACATGTTGTTACAGATAATGATAGCAAGAACATAGCAGGACCAGAATTTAACGAGCCGGGTGGACTCCTTGAAATGGGGATTGGGGTTCTCCTCTTCCAGAAAAGACACAAGAATGGGAAGCATGTTTACGTTTCTGGCTTTCTTTTGGCCGACAGTGTTTAAGTAGCACCAACTGCACATGCTCTGTAGTAGCATGACCTTAACATGAGGAGAAAGGTTTTCCTTCTGCAAGATTGCTGCTACCTCAGTCATGTATTCGCCTACCCATTTTGCTGCTATCGGTCCTCCTGAAAAACAAAAAAACAAACAATTGTGTTTCTAATTTATCTTAATTAGCTAGTTAATTACCGAATAAGCTCTTTCAGCCACCTAAGGGCTGGATCCCCTTCCATCCCCAATGGCGCTGTGCTTCAAAATGAAGCCCTAGAAAGATTTTAGAGATTGGATAGCTCTTATGGAAGTAGGAGTATTGAATAGATGACTCTCAGTAAATTTAGCAGTACTTGAAGATTTCTTCAGTTTACCTCTCTTCAAATTGGGGAATGACTGAAAGAGGTAATAGAATCTAATAGAATGGCTTAGAACTGTACCATAAGGAATAATGCATATGAAGACTTGTATAAAGGGATATATAGGATGAGAAAACAGAGTCAAGACAACAAATCTAAAGCCAAACACAACAGCAAAGATCCCCATTATCAAAGTTAAAACCCACACCCTTCCTTTCTGTTAACAATTGATAAACTACAAAAGTGGGAAATGACAGGTACCATTAGTCAAATTTATGCTATTAGTGCAATTTTGCTTCATTATTTTCTTGTAATATACTTTGGTGGAAAGTGTTCTCAAAACAAAGCATATCAATATTTTTCTCTTAAAAAAGGAAAAATAATCTTAAAATTAACCAAACCCTAATTACCATATTAAGACAATTTAGAATAAAACTTAAATAGAACCCAAAGTACATTTAATTAGCTTTTGATTCATTTTAGCAAACATTTAAGCTAAATACTTCAGGGAGTATGGAACATTGTGCTACATGCTATTGGAGAAAATTTACATAGGAGATGATTCCTATCTTTATGGAGCTCATTTTTCTGACTAATTATAGTGGGCTTCCTGGCTCCCTGCCCCTCCATAGTCATAACCTTTGTAGCTGAATTAAGTCCTATCCCAGACTCTGGGGCCAATCCTGACCCTAGAAAGAACCGTAAGGAGCCTTAGATCAATAATTCATTGAAATAGCATCAGGTAAGTTTGAGGGACTTCTCCTCAGGACCATAGTATTATTTACCCAGCAAACAGAATATTTATCTTGTTCTCCTATGACTTAGTTGCTTCTCTACATCTCAATTTGCCATTTTCTTTTACAGTCTTGTGATTAAGTTCCTACCCTGTCCCAGTGTTTAGCCAACAGATTCTTTCCTAATTTCCTTATCCTCTGCCCCAGTCCTTCTAGTGACTTGATTCTCTACCTGGTGGGATGAGTGAGTTAGTAAACATTATCAGGATCCTCTGATAGGACCGTCTACATAGGAATCTCAGGGGCTACAGGAACCTCTGACACAGGCTTGCTAGAGAAAATAGGGAAGGGCTCAGAAGGTATGTCAAGGACACAACCATCATTGACCTCATGACAGTATCATCATTGCCTGTGGGGAACCTGTGGCCTTGAGGCCACATGTGGCCTTCTAGGTTCCTGGGTCCAACTTTCACAGAACAAATCCTTTTATTAAGGGGATTGGTTCTGTGAAGTTTGGATTCAGTCAAAGGACCGCATTTGAGGACCTAGAGGGCAACATGTGGTCTTGAGGCTGCAGGTTCCCCACCCTTGGTAGCTGTTAGGTACATTTTTTTTTTGCCTAATGCCTCTGGCAGTTTATAACACTATCTAATACATACTATTTCCTCAGAGACACATAACTCAGGGGAGCACAAAAATAGGCACCCAGAAAGTCACCAAGATCATCATACTTCTTTTCTTACATGAGGTCTCAGCTGGCCCTCATTTTCCTTCTAACATGAACAACCTTATAAATACAACGTAAGGATCAGACTTATAGCAACACTAGCCCAAGAGGCCTTGACTCTCACTGCTTTTTCTCATAGTTCATATGTTTTCCCAAGTTTCTCCAGATCAGACCTTTTCATCATTTTTTAATGGTATAATTGTGTTCAGTTACATTTATATATCATAATTCGTTTACACATTCCCCAGTTGGTGGGTACCCTCTTACTTTTTAGTTCTTTGTTACAACAAAGAGTGCTGCTATAAATATTTTTGAACATATCAGTCTTTTCCCTTTGTCTTTGATCTATTTGGAGAATAAGCTTAGTAGAAGTATCACTGGGTCAAAGGTTATGCACAGTTTAGGTATAGTTCCAAAGTGACTTCTGGAATATCTGGCTACTGAACAGGTCCACCAACAATGTATTAATGTGCTTATTTCCCTGAAGCCACTCCAGCAATTGTCATTTTCCTTTTTTTTGATCATCTTTTCTAATCTGATAGGTGTGACATGGGATTTCAGAGTTATTTTAATTTTCATTTCTCTTATTACAAGTGATTTTCAATTTTTTTTTCATGTTGCTATTGAAAGCTTAGATTTGTTCCTGTGAAAATGCCTTATCAATTTATCTATTGGGGAATTGCGCTTGCTCTATATATTTGTATCAATTCCCTATTTATATTGGCTGTCAGAAAAATGCAGAATTATGTAGTGAATGGAGAGCTGGCCTCAGAGCCAGGAAGACTTGCATTTATGTCCTGCCTCTGCCTGATACTGGCTATATGACCCTGGACTGGACAAGTCATTTAACTTCTTAGATCTTTGGGCTAAGACTACAAGTTGCAGAGAAAGTACTGACCTGCATTTTTTTTTTTTTTGCTTTTTCTTGGTGAGGCCATAGGTGTTAAGTGACTTGCCCAGGGTCACACAGCTAATAAGTGTTAAGTGTCTGAGGCTGAATTTGAACTCATGTCCTCCTGACTTCAAGGCCAGAGCTCTATTCACTGCGCCACCTAGCTGCTCCTTGACCTGCATTCTTAAAAGGAATTTCCTCACCTAATGATTCCCATTCTGGGGGATTCCTTTACAATAAAATCACATGTCCAATTTCTATTTCCATCAGACCTGTATCAGAAAAACTTGCTGTAAAGATTCTTCCCAGTTATCTGGGGAAAATTTCCCTTCTATTTTAAACTACATTAATTTTATGTATGTAAAAACTTTTTAATTTTGTATAATTGAAATTATCTATTTCATCTCCTATAATCTTCTTTGCATCTTTTTTTGGTCAAGAAGTCTTCCCCAATCCACAGCTGTTAATAATAATAACTAACATTTATAACACTTACTGTGTGCCAAGGACTGTGCTAAGTACTTTACAAATGTTATCTTATTTGATCCTCACAAAAACCCTGGGAGGTAAGTGCTATTATTATCCTCTTTGGGGATATTGATGAGGAAATTGAGGCAAACAGAGGTTAAGTGACTTCCCTAGGGTAACAGAGCTAGTAAGTGTCTGAAGCTGATTTTGAACTCAGGTCTTCCTGACCCCAGGTCCAGTGCCTTATCTACTGTGTCACCTCGCTGCTCCTTTCTTGTTCCTCTAATTTGTTTATGATATGATCTTTTATAACTAGGTTTTCTATCTATTGAAGATATATTATGGGATATAATGGGAGATGTTGCTCTAAACCTAATTTCTGCCACACAGTCTTCCATCTTTCTAGAAGTTCTTGTTTTGTCCTTAAACTAATATTTGGAGGTCTTGGTTTATCAAATACTATGATGTTTAATAGTTTCTGGGTCTAATAAACTTAATCTTTTCAAATGATCAACTTTTCTGTTTTTTTAACCAGTAACAAATGTGATGATTACTTCTGTATGGTATATTTTGAGATATGGTATTGCTTTGTCTTGTTCATTCCTACTTTTGTCTTGAGATTTCCCTTCAGATCCTTGGCCTTTTAATACTCCAGATGAATCCTTTTTTATTGTTTATTTTTCTAGTTTTATAAGTCAATTTGTTGGTTTACTGATCTGTATGTAATCACTTTTATTACATTGGCATGGCCCAACCACAAGCAGTTAATATCTCTCCAGTTATTTTTATTTATCTTTATTTCTGTAATGAATATTTTATAGATATGTTCATATAATTCCTTTGTTTATCTTGATATTTAAACTACCAACTATTTTATATATTGCATAGTTATTTTGAAATAATTTTTTTACTTCTTCTCCCTGCTGGGTCTTGTTGGTAATAGATAGAAAGGCAGATATTATGCATTTAATTTGTATCGTGTCACATTGTTGAAGTTATAAATTGCTTCGATACATTTAGTTGACTCTCTAATAAACCATGTTATTTGCAAAGACATTGATTTTGTGTCCTCTTTGCTTAGGTTTATTCCCTTGATTCCTTTTTTTTTGTCTTATTGCTATAGATAACATTTCTATAACTATAGCAAATAGTGGTGGTGACAAAAGACATGCTCATTTTACCCCTGATCTTTTTTTTTTCTTTTTTTGGTGAGGCAATCAGGGTTAAGTGACTTGCCCAGAGTCACACAGCTAGTAAGTGTCAAGTTTCTGAGACCGGATTTACCCCTGATTTTATTCGAAAGGCTTTGACCATTTGTCCATTGCAAATAATCCTGTCTATTAGTGTTAGTAAATACAATTTACCATATTAAGGAATAGCTCATTTATTCCCATGATTTTTAATGGTTTTAACATAAAGGGGTGTTGCATTTTGTCAAAAGCTTTTTTCTGTATCTTTTAATATAATCCTGTGGTTTTTATTATTTTTATTATGAATAAAATCTATTATGCTTATAGATGTCTTGATATTGAATTAAAATTACATTTTTCATATAAATTCAACCTGTTCATAGTGTGTAACCATTTAGTATGTTTTTACATTTTCTCTGGCTGTCCCCAATGCCTGGAATGCTTTCTTTCCTTAGCTTTGCCAACTGACTTCCCCGGCTTCCTTTATGTCCAAGTAAAATCCCATCCTTTACTGATGCCTTCCAACTCTTCTTAATTCCAATGCCTTCCCTCTATTAATTATTTCCCATTTATTCTGTATATAGCTTGCTTCATATATAGTATATATTTGTTTATATATTGTCTCTACCATTAGATGCCCATACCCTTCATGTTTATATATTCTTCTCATGCACTCAATTTATGCTAGATATTAGGTTCCGCACTCTTCTTTATTTCCTCATCAGTGTATTTTTTCTTCTTTATTCTTGTTTCCCTTCCTTGAGTTC